CGATTGACGGCTTGTGTACGTTCGCCCGTGTAGGCCGATCAATAGCCTGCTTAGAGTGCGGCTATGGCTTGCAAGCTACTGCTTGCTAAGGCTATTCGTTAGGCCGTTAGGTCTTCATAAGTGCGTAAGATGAAAGAATTTGTCTACTGTTCCGTTTTATATTTTCAGACCGGTCCTACGCCATGGACAAGCCGCAGATCATCGGCCACATACACAAATCGTTGAACTACACGCTTTTTGATTGCAAATGGGTTCCTGTCAGTACAAAATTTGTGGTCGTCGGTTCCAATCCTCGTGGTACGGCCCAGCTTCAGGTGTACGATGTTACTGCAACCGACGTGAAGCTTGTATATGAGGTAAGCATTTGTACTATACACTGTATTCTTTTATTTTAAAATTCCGGATTCTTACCATATTTCACCTAGTCTTTGAAGGGCGTAAACCTGTTGTATCTCCTTTACGTTGAAGGTCAAGTTTCCTGAGAAATGAAATAACTTTTTCTACAGTTCAGCGAGTTCCCCAGCTGATTTCATAGGATCACGCGACCCTTAACTATTATATTCAAACCACAAATATTGCATCCCCCCAACTATCATGGGTTTTCAGGAGGACCACCATACAATTTAAATCGTTATCTTTTGGCTATATGAACTTCTGTGTGTTTGAAAGGATCAAGGTGTCTTCTTATCCGTAACCTTTAAAGTAAAAGTCTTCCCTTCCACCTGGTTATATCAGGTTATTTAGGACAACCACAGTCGAGGAAGATACTCTCGGTTACTTAATTGAGACGTAGTTTACAATTGCGATGTTGCGTGTGACGCTTACTCAAACGCATTGCAAGGTCGAGTTAGGCAGTACCTGTGACACGATCTGCCTTCAATGCTTCACAACATTGATTCGCCCAGAATTGATAAAAATATGTCTGCGCTTGTGTCGTTTACCGTTAAAAGGGTATATATTTAGGGTTCTTTTGTTTTTCCTTTTTCCCTGCTCCTCATCATTAGCCTCAAGTTAGAATTTCTGGTTACTTTAACAACCACCTCACTGCGCACGCAATGATACTAAGCAGATAACGGGTTTTCTAATTGCTCCTTTCGCCTCTTTCAAACCCGAGGTACTATTGCAAATTCAGGTCGAAACACTGGCCCGCGGGAGTTCCTTAAACGTATTTTTTTGTTGTGTAATAGTTAGCAGAAGAAATTTCACACGCCACATGATAACCCTAACAGAAAACCTGTCCAACCAAAGTGAACAGAGAGTCTCCTATGACCATTATTATTGTGAATCCCTTTCCTCGAACCACACTCATGAAGAGATTGAAGGCCACCTTGACAGTGCTGAGGCATGCGAAAATGTATTATGTGAGCAGCCGAAGAAGCTTTAACTCGGTTAGGGCCCTTCCTTGATGAACGTCTAGCAGAATGCATTCATTCCGTTCTGCCTCTGGGAGTCACTCTCAAGTCCCGCCACCAGTCGCACAGCGGCTAGTATTGTAGATAGATGAACATTGCCGGCAAAGACGATGGAGACTGAATTGACCACTTCTGACTCAATAGCCGCCATCAGCCGATCGTACCCAATCCCAGGTGTGGATCACCCGGGATTTTAATCCGGGACCTTTGGTCATTAATTTGTCGTACCAATTGTGTCACACACACACACCTGGCTGACAGCTTTCAGCTTCCGTTGTGTTTTTTCCAGCCTTACTTGAAATTTTAAACTTTTCGAGGGCCGGCGCCGTGTTTTAGCTGAGTGAAGAACTGTATCTTGTTAAAATATTTGGGCGAAGCTCGCAACTAAAGCTCTCTTAACGTGATACTTTCATATACTACAGTCACGAAGAATCTGCCTAATGCGCCACTGACCTTGCAAAGTCGTCGTGCAATCGGTAGCATCAGTGTTTTCTTGTATGCAGCAGTCAAGCAATTGTGCAAATGTAGATGAAGTAAAATGTAAAGGGAGATGGATAATGACGATGCTACTGTCAATTACGCCATCGCTGATGATAAGCATAACGATGATTACGACGATAATAGCTGCGATACTATTGGCATTTGTTTCGGTGATGAGTGTACTTATGATAAATGTGGTTGACAGCATGTTTCAAAACATAAGTTTGGAGCATTCGCGAACTCACTCCAAAATTGGAGGATTTGGGACGTTTTTCAGCGTTCACAGGCCTCCTTAATATACTCGGACGCTAGCCTCTTGCTTCTCAAATATTTACTCACGATGATTTTACAACTGTCGAATTCTCATGTTGCCTCGTTTTGCATGACAGCTGCAGATAAAGATAGGAAAACAGTGTAGCCTCGGTGAGTGCTAA